TTGTTGTCATTTACAGAAATTTGACCAAATATGTCCAGTGACCGAAAAAAAGTACGCATTTGCCCCACCTTCTCAATTTTTTTTTACTGTATTTTCGGTCTATAAAGTGCACCTTTATAGACCAGCATTCAATTTTCTCAAAAGTCGTAAGTGGGCCCTATGATAGACGTGCATTATATATGGAGTTAGTCTCTTTATAGAACTCACGACAGTGTGAGGCAGACGTGCTAACCGGTTGACTACCATACCGCCCGACACAACAGCCATGATTTGAAACGTGGGCTCCTCAGAAATGTCTGTGACACAGTTTTTGACTAAGTTGTGAACCTCACCCTATCCTTGCTTGTGAACAACTGAGCCTTTCGGTGATGCTCATTTTACCCAACCATCATCATTAACTACTGACTAAACAAAGCTGGAAAGAGACAAGCAATACTTCGAAGGATATTTAGCCCCTTGTGGATGTAAGCCCAGGAGGTTTGTCTGCCTTTTTGTTGAATCCATTGTCTTCATCACTTTTGTCTGTCATGTATTGTTTTCGAATGGCATTTGTATTTTTATGTTTCATGTCCGTGTCTGTGACTAGTTCTCATTGCTTTGTTACAGCTGCATTGCTTTTAAAGGCTCCATATCAATGGTTCTAAACCTTGTTTGAGGTACCGAACCCAACCAGTTCATAACAAAATGGACCACCCTAATGCACATTCAACGAACCCTTCATTCGTGAAAAATAAAAATATGTTTTTTTTTTTTTTTTTAGTATATGTCATTGTTGTCATTTACCGATATTTGACCAAATATGTCCAGTGACCTAAAAAAAGTACGCATTTGCCCCACCTTCTCAAATTTTTTTCCTGTATTTTCGGTCTGTAAAGTGCACCTTTATAGACCAGCATTCAATTTTCTACAAGTAAACACAGTTTGTACAAGTATAAAGTATACGTTTTTTTTCATTGTGCACAAATGAACCAGCCAGTGATGGCCAAGTCGGCATAACTAATTGACATGTTGAGTCGGGTGTGTCTTAACCTCCATGGCAGAGGCTCTGTCGAACCCTGAGACTGAGTCACTGAACCCCTAGAGTTCGAACGACGAACCCAGGTTAAGAACCACTGCTCAATTTTAATAAAGCCGTATTGTATTCCCTTTATTGTAGCTCTATCTAGTGGATGCATAGCACAATCGCAGCCACTATTGTCGCTTCCATAATCCAGTGCACCCTAATGAAAACAGTTTTAAAATAAGTAATTCATTGCAGGAGCGTCCTATAATGCGAAGCGACTAATAGTGCAGAAAATAATTGTATTTTTTAATGGATTAATTGTTTGAATTGGTTCCCCACTTCAATGTTTAAGACCATCAAATAAATGTAAATATCAGACAAAGAAAATCCAAGTAGTTTTCAAATGGTTATTTTTTTGAGAAAGGGAAAAAAAAAAATCTAACTTTGAAGCATTAATGGTGCATTCATAGATAGGCAAGTTACACACACGCGCGCGTGCGCGCACACACACACACACACACACACACACACACACACACACAAACACACACACACACACATAATTGTTTGAATTGGTTCCCCACTTCAATGTTTAAGACCATCAAATAAATGTAAATATCAGACAAAGAAAATCCAAGTAGTTTTCAAATGGTTATTTTTTTGAGAAAGGGAAAAAAAAAAATTAAAACTGAAGCCAAGTGTGAACACTTGTCCCTGCAGTGAAAAAACAAAAAAACCCCAAAAAACGCCTAATTACCTTCAGACTTCTTCAAGAATTCACTTAAATGCAACTTGTCAGAGAAAAAAAATGAAGTCGGGCAAATTAACTGAAAAGAGCTGAAAAAAATATGTGGGGCAGCCGGCAGGGCATCCCCTGAACTGGTTGCCAGCCGATCGCAGGGCATACAATTATGCACACAATCACAATTTAGAGACAATTTCAAGTGTCAGAGATGAAAGTGGACTTTTCTGAAAATTCCTCATGACATCGAATAACAGATGAGAAGTAAAGTAATTGACATATATCAGTCTGGAAAGGATTATAAAGCTATTACTAAAGCTTCAGGACTGCATTGAAACTTGGTGAGAGTCATTACCACAAATGGAGAAAACATTGAACAGTGGTGGCCCTTCCACAACTGGCCGTCCTACAAAAATAACTCCAAGAGCACAGCAGCGGCTCATCCAGGAGGTCACACCATAGCCCATCCTGGGGTTCTGAAGAACTGCAGCCCTCAATTACAGTCAGAATTCATGACTCTTAAGAGACTGGGCTAAAATGGCATCAATGGCAGAGTGAAAACCAGACCAAAAACCACGACCCCCCCCAAACAACAAAACCCAAAGTGAACAAATCAAGAAGACAAAAAAAAAAAAAAAAAAAACATGACGAAGCCTTTTGGAAGAATATTCTATTGACTGAGAAAATGAAATTTGACATTTTTGGAAGGTTTTCTCTTGATGCAACTGGTGTAAATGCCACACAAAACATTTCATAAAAAGAACATTAAACACAATCAAACATGCTGGTGGTAGTGTGATGGTCCAGAACTGCTCTGCTTATTCAGGACCTGGATGACTTGCTATGATTAGCGAACCGTGATTTCTGCTTTTTTCCAGAAAATCCTGTTGGTGAATGTTTTGCCATCGGAGTGTGATCCCAACCTGAAGCGCAATTGTGTTCTACAGTAGCACACTGATCCAAAACAAACCAGCAAGTCAACTTCTGAATGGCTTAAAAAAAAAAAAAAAAAAAAATGAAGGTTTTGAAGTGGCCCTGTCAAAGTCCGGACTTGGATCCATTTGAAATGCTGTGGCATGACCTTAAAAAGGCTGCTCGTGCTTGGAAACCCTCCACTGTTGCTGAATCAACCATCCCTGCAAGGACGACTGGCCCAAAATTTCTCTTCAGAGATGTGAAAGTAATAGAAAACCCTTGATTTTAGTTACTGCTTCTGAGCGTGGCCCACCCCATTATTATTAGACAAATACTTTTTCTCACAGGGACAGGTAGTGTCTTTTCTTAAAAAATAAAATTACCATTTAGGAACTGCATTTTTTTGTTTAATTTATGTTACTTTGGCTGATATTTACAATTATTTGTTGAACTTAAACATTCAAATAAACAAAAATGAGAATTTGAGAGGGGGTGAATACTAATACGAATACTATCGTGTCATTGTACAAAGGGGTGCAGATTTGATATTGCTGCAAATTGCAATGCTTCCTGTGTGTAGCTGTTATTTTCATTTACATTTCTTTCGGTAATACAACAGGACCCCTGCTACAAGGGAAATTGATTTTTTTTTTTTTTTAACGAAACACTTTGAAAAACCTGGGATTAAACGACGAATAAGCATTTTCATGAAAAAAAGTAGGCTGGCTCCCCAAAATAAATGATACTTTAAAAAAAATACTGAAAAGAAAATAATAGGTGAATACAGGGCAGAGTTAGAAAATCCAGGTCCAGAATGTGCACAACCTGCTATAGTTTGGCTTTGCCACAGGCGCTTCTACTCAACCGGCAGTAAACCAGCCTCCTTCTGCGGTTGAGTAGAAGCACCTGTGGCTGACGCTAAACTGTGGCAGAGTTATGATTTCTTGGACATGGGTTTGCCACCTGTGATCCACAGGTGCCGAACCCCGAGTATGCAGGGGTCCACTGTGGCTGTGTCCAGATTCACAGGCTGCATCCTTTGAAGGCTGCATTTTGTGTTGAGATGCCAAGTCGGAACAAAAAGATCCCTGAGTTCACCGACCGACTTCAGTGTGATGTCACTCGACAATGGCGACCCCCAATGAGACATCGTCCGTGAATGGCAAAACATAATTTACAATAACCATATATTTAGATATTATTACATGAATTTAGTGATATGACATTATTTCACGTGACTAAAGTGATTTGCATTGACTGCGTGAAGACGTGCTGTTATCTCCCTGCATGACGTTATTTGGTGAAATGAATGAAATTCTTTGAAGATAGTTATTTATTTATATATATCAAATAAATTGTTAACATGATTTGCTGGAGGTCAAAATGTGTTGTGATGAACCAGAACAACAACCATCTTTGTTGTTTACATTCCCCTCCACGTCGAACGCTTTCAGGTCGGAACTGGGACAATCCGAGTGGGATTTTTCCGACTTCAGACCTTCTTCGAGTACAGGATAACCAACAACCAAAACAGTCTTTTCACTGCCATGGCTGTCCCTCCCTTGCCAGAAAAGTCGGCCGTGTTGCGTAAACAATCCAGGACTGTTGTAAACATAAACGTTAGAAGTTCCAACGCCATCGGTCGGTAGACGCGTAGTCACAATCTCCGTCCAATGAAAAACGACGTAAATGTCACATGTACGTTCTACTTGTAATGCAATTGGTTGTAACTGCTATCACTTGCTCTCAATTTCATGACTTAGCATTGTAGGCTATATTTATATTGGCATAAACATTGTGTCGATTTATGAAGCGGTTGCTTAGTTAAAAGTGATCGAGGCGTATTTAATTTGAATGACTACTGAATGACGGATGGTATTTCAACATGAAACACTTACCTGAGTTCAGAGATTCCTGTGACAGCTCAGCTTGCACACGAGCACAGCTGCAGACTAAGTTTGGCTTGGAGTGAGGTCTATTCAGTTGTCATTTCATTCAGCTATCTACCAATAAATAGACCCAAGACTACGCGATTAAAGCAAATCTTCCTTGGTTTCTGTGGAGTGCTCCATTCTGTCGAGAACACCATTATCTCATGTTAAACCCTCCTCCTTTCCCTGTCATTCCTGCCCTCCCCTTTCCTACCTTATTACAACAACGACTCAACCAACGTATGCAACTATATTTGAAACTACATTATTTTCTTTGAATATTTCATTCCTCAAAAAACATTATTCCGTTAAAAGATATTAAAACCACGATGCAATCGTTGTACTGTATTTCAAATAAACGTCATTACACACCACGTGACAACAGGAGCCAATCCTGTTTTTGTCTGTTGAATCCCGGTAGAAACAAAAGTTCAAATTCCGGGTTGTCATTCAGATGCGGTTTTCAAAACAGTCGGTTAATTTACTTTTAAAATTTGATTAAGGTAAGCACTTTGATTGATAGCGCGATTCCATGTCATATTTTTATTAGACTCCCGTCTTTGATACTGATTTGTTGCTTTACTTTACTGTTGTATATGTTAGTTGCTCCATGTACAGCACTTTGTGTGCAGCGATGGCTGTTTGAAAATGCTCTATAAATACATTTGAGTTGAGACGCTAAAGAAATAAATGCAGTCGCTGCAGAAAATAACATGGATGCTATGTATTTATTTTGACGTTGTAGTAGAGGAGAAAGAATGCTGCCCACTGGCGATGTGCAGGGCTGTCTTCGTAAATTGGAAACTCTCTTACGAATCGTAAAGTACCCTGGACCTGTCGACTACAATGGGTAAGCTGTTAACTCTTAATCTTGTTTTAGGGGCAAAGTTGCCATCAAAAGGCAATGCATGCACAACATTGACAATAAATAATTTGCAAATTTCTCAAGTGATTTTCATGAAATTTACTTTATTGTCGACGTCAAAACATATGCTATTAATACAGATTTCCAGAATCCACAAAAAGGTGTCTCTAACAATGTAGCCTGTAATTTTATTGATACTGTATAGTAAAAGGGAGTCTCTTTGGTTCAAAAAGGAAATCTTTCACTTTGGAGTTTTGGCGTTAATTTTACGTATAATAGCAAAGACAACGCGGACAATCTTTTTATTATCTTTTTTTAATTTTGTTTACTTTATTGATGTCGCGATATGCATCTGCCAAAATAATATCCAAATGAGTACAGCATTTTTATGTTCTCGCTGTGGTTAGAAGTGAAGCCGGTGGTCATCTGGCGTTGCCACTGCCACTCCCGAAGCGCGCATAACTTGAATATTCTGTCTCTGCGTCGAAAATGTATGGACTGAAATGTGTGCCACCAGAAACTGAATTTGAAAAAAAAAAGATATATGTTTGAATTTGAATCAAGTTGAATAATCGCATTGAAAAACTGAATTTAAGTTGCATAAACTGAATTTGCATTGGATAATTTCAGTCATTGCATTGAAAAACGTAATCGGAATTGTGTCAATTGAATTTATTAGTTTAGAATTGAGGTCTAATAACCTTGAAACGGAATTTAAAATTACAAAATGGATTTCATTTTCTCTCAAACTCTGTTTGTTCCTCAATGAAAATGATTCAGTTTTACACAAATTTGGAGTTACAAACAAAACCTTCGTAGAAAATGTACTTCTATTTACGACGCTAATTTTGATGTACGGAGAGTGTTTGCATGGACGAGCGGAGGGTTTATGTAGTAATACAGTACTGCTCGCACTGTGTGACCCATCATTGTCAACATGCATAACGCATTGCTGCGATCTGAAAAGTAGTGATATCCCTCCTCAGCTGAGGGCGGAAGCTGTTACAAATGTATACGGAAATTCTTCCCTGGAATTCTTGATCATCCAATCACAAACCGCCTTTGCGTTTGTGACGTCAAAAAATAATTTATAACTTTTGTTCCAAAAAGGCTATTTAAAATGTGTTTGTTATTTATTAAAATTCAGCGTTATTTTTAATTAAGTGAATTAACGGTTAATGTTGGTGTAACACGTCATCATTTAGCCGTCTCTGCATGTTGACGAGAGGTGGAAGTTCCATCTATGTATACTGTAATACTCTGCTTTATCCAACCCTTTATTTAATTTTTAAAAAAATGTATTTTATTTTTATTTATTTTTTTATTTTATTTTTATATATTATATACTGTATGTAATATTATATATATTATATAAAATATAATTTTATTTTTATTACCCTATCGCAGATGCAAGAAGTGGCTGCATTGAATGAATGCGGAAGCCGATCCCACGTTGAAAGATACATCAGACTTTTCTCAAAGACGTAAATGAAGCGCAAAGCAATCATAATGGCCCTTAATAACAAAAAGGAAACTCTTTAGGGGACTGTGATGGGAAGTGCCTGATTTTAGAGATGGAATGATACGTTTTTGAAATTTTTTTTTTGACTGATGTGATTCCTATCGATTTAAGGCCTAAAGATTCACCACAGTGATGTAATGCCTTTATGAATGACACAATTTCATACGATAAAGGCGAATTTGACAATGTTTTTTTCTGTAAATAAACCTATACTAATTAAAGATAACTCCACATAAACAAAATAGAATGGTGTTTTATTGGATTTATTTTAAAAGCAACTCAGCTTTACTGATTCCAAGATGGAAAAAAAATGATATCAGAGCGAGATAATGAAAAAAAAACCCAAAACATCCTCTTAATATTCGACCACAAAGTGCAATGGAACAGGCTAGCTCTCTTTTTCTACAATTAAATAAGATTCAATTATTGGTTTGGACTGTAGTGTTGATCACTGTTTTCCAAAGTAAAACACAGATGTTTGCAAATGTTTTTTTTTTTTTTTGTATTGTGATTCACCTCAAAGCTAATAAGTCTGCAGACATCTGAGGACTACAAAAATCTGACAATAGTTACAGTTAGCAAGATTAAATTCTGACGATTAGGACAATTTTAAGTTAAACAATGTTTTTTAAGGAATAATGGACTCTCACAAGCAGACATAAGCTCTCAAGTGTGAAATTAATGCATGTTTTACATACAGTAAGTCAAAATATGATGTAAATGCTGTTAATTGTTTTTGTTGTGTGATATCATTTCTTCGTGGTCGTTCCGTTTCATAACTTCAACTTCTATTTCACATCAGCCTCTCTGTAGGAGACCCCTCAGCTTTTCTGCCAATTTTGAGCTTCAGTCTCACCACATTCTCTCCACCTTTTGCTGAGCAACTAGTGGCAGCTGGACTGGAGCTGACAGGCAAAACTGACCTGAGATTCACTGACACACTCTATAAGGTACCTCACTCAAGTGCATAATTTCTAAAGTCAAGAATAATATTTTATTCATATACTTGATTTGAACTATTGCTGATTTACTGCCATATACGAAGGTATTATATTGGGATACCTTAAAAAATTTAAGATAATTGAGACAATTTGAATCTGGTCTTTTTCTCATTCATTGCGTTACAGAGGTTTTGGTTTGGGACTTGGTATTGGCAGATCCTCAAAATCAAGTGCCCTGGACTTGCACTCAGTTGCAAAAAAAAAAAAAAAATGTGACTGGGACCAAACACCATCACTTCTGTTTTCTTTTCGGTGAAAATGAAGAAATTCTGTGCCATCCAGGTTTTGATTTCCTCACAGACAAAAGAAAGCGTCTTTTTTGCTCAGCGGGACATGACAGTCATCCGCAGCAGTGGAAACGTAGATGAGATCAGCAGAGACTGCAGACCTGAACCCTGTAGAATTCCACACAACAGTGGGGCAATTTGTAACTCAGAGCAACCAAAGCGAACACAAAAAGTTCTGTTAACCAAATCGGATCTAAACCACTTGAGGGCAATTCCGCGAATTCCCACGTAGTGCCTCAGAAAGGATCAAAATCTGTTTACTCAAGAATACATGAGTCTCATGTCAGTGTAAAATGTGGGTGACTAACTTATGTTCTCAAATAAAAGTTGATTTTAATCGTTTGGAGGACAATGAATCCACTACTTTGAATCAAACGTACTCTTAATATTTGACTCTCTTCCAAGTGTATATTTAGCTTGGGACCAAATAGTCTTTTTAGAGTAAAATGTACTCTACGAAATTTACTGCGGAGAACAACATTAAAGCTCTGTTCCCAATTTTTATTTTCCACACGTCATGTCTTTTCATCTTGACAATTTCTTGATCAAGGTCCTGCGGGATATCTTCCATTACAAGCCAATCATCTCCAAGCAACAGTTCCTTCAGAGGGGCTTTGTGCAAAGAAAGATCTCTACCCTTTGTGACATCATTGACTTGGTCTTGCAGAGACACAAGGAACTGAAGAAGGTTCAGCATATATTCAAATGTATTGCCTTGTCAAACTGCATTGTTTGCTGTGTTGCATATTCATCATTAAAATTTGGTACCCAAAAGAAAATGATGCATTTTAGAGCTCTGCTAGGGGCCATGTAACATTTCCAGAGAATGCTTAAAATTTACAATGCTTTAACATCTATCCATCCTCCGGTCCGCTTTATCCTCACAGTTGTCACGGGGGGTGCTGGAGCCTATCCCAGCTGTTTTCAGGCCGTAGGCAGGGGACACCCTGAACTGGTTGCCAGCCAATCGCAGGGCACACATAGACAAACAAAGCATTCACGCTCACAATCACACCTAGGGACAATTTAGATAGTGTTCAGTCAGCCTGCCGTGCATGTTTTTGCAATGTGGGAAGAAACCGGAGTACCCCTGAAACCCCTGAGCGGTCACTTTTCCCTTATATTTTTTGGGGGCCGAGTGGTGACAATGGAGCTTTCAGAACCATCTCGAAGGTGGTTCCAAAATGCTGGCCGCCTGGGTCAGACTTTTTACAACAAAGAAAAAGTTTCACATTTTGGGGGCTCGATGTGAACCTTCACCACAAAGCACAAATACATCCAACCCAGCTTCCTTCTGGATGGAAGGGCATTTTGTACTCTGGTTGTTGCTGAAAGTAGCTCTCGATCCTCAACCTCAAACATCTGCTCTAAAGCAGACTTCTTGGGATGCATCCTGTGAGATGAAGGCTTAAAATTGGAGCGAGCAGAGGGAGTGGCCTACATAGTTGAAAATGCATTCTTTGTCGAGCAGTGGTTCTCAAATCGTTACAGCAAATAGCATCTCAAAAAAGCTTCAACTTCCATCACAATGACCAACGTTAAGATGCAATTGCATTTTAGGTATGTGTTCATCGAAAATAAGGTGGAGATTTTTTTTTTTAATTAAGCTAACTGTAGTAGTACCACTGTTTGAGCATTAACACCACACCTAAATATAGTAAAATTAATAAAGTACTTTATTACCGTAATGGTTACATTAATATATGCTGCACAGCAAGAATTTGAACTAAAGTTTTGAAAAAGAACAAGATTACCGGTAAAAGCAAATGTGTTGTACCTGAATTATATACAACTTTACTGAACAAATATACTGCATGAGATTAAAAAGCAGAATTTGCATCTTTAACTGGCAAGATAAACGCTATGGTTTCTGTCGTCTATCAAGCGAATTAATACTTGACTCCAGTGAGTGAACAACAATCTTTTGGTTGCATCACGTGACTTAAGACAAAATCAGAGTAACCAAAATTCATGCTGTCATTTGAATGGTTAGGTATCGAATGTATATGAACCGGTAACAGTGGTCTCAAGCCTTGCTCCCCAACTCTAGTCACTGGTTTTGAGTTTTCATTGCATATAAAGGGAATGAACTACATTAAAAGTAACTGCCTTCAACAACAGAAAACTTGGAAAACATTTAACTACTTGGCCACAGTCTGTGTATAATCCTCTTTAATGTCCTGCCGCGCTGAGAATGTCTCTGCAGGAAGGTGTTGTTTTCTTAATTTGCTCATTTTGTCCTTTAGCAACTATTTTACTCAACTGCATTGACCTTTTTGGTGTGCTTTCTTAGCCCAGACTCAGAAATCCTGTGTCACACAAGGACACAAGAGGAGCGGACCATGCAAAGCTGACCAAGCCAGATACTGTAAGTAGAGAGGATAATAAGTAGAGAGGTATGCCGCGCATAATCACCAATAGAACCAGATAGTACACGTGTGGCTCTTCTCTTATCACCTATAGATAGTTCTATTTATTCAACCATGCATTTCACCAAAATTTAAAAAATATACCTTTCTATATACAGTGCATAACTATTTAATTTGACATCAAATTGGCCCGTTATCAAAATGGGTTCCCTATAAACAAGTCAACAGAGTAATGGTTTTCTCAAACTAAACAACTTTCTTGTTGTTCACGACTGTCGCACGGTCAGAAGACCAGATAAATGGCGTTCTCTGTCTTTAATCAGGCGAGATGTCACACTACAAGTCCGTCACTGACCAGAAAATCGTCACATTATTCCTTCAACATTCAGTCACAGGTCCTTTGTGGAGACAGGACAAGTAGCTGTCAAAGTTATGTCGACAGAGACATGATGTGCATGTGAGTTGTTTCTATGTTGAGAAAAGGCAAAAAAAAAAAAAACAATTGAGAGAGAGAGAGAGAGAGAGACGATGGACACGTTCATTGATGGTAGGGAGAGGGCAGTATAGATTGTCTATTCTCCAAATACGTGAGGTAATGGATTTGTTTAATGACACTACGTTTGCTAGTCAGCTACTAACATTGCAGCTTGCAAATGTAGCATGAGTATGCTATGCCATCCACGAAGAAGCGGAACCTGTCTCATAGTTTTCCTTTCTTTAAAACAATCCCCCTGGATTTAGTTGGTTTAAAGCTCATTCTTGCTCAGGAGATGAGCTTTTCCAGGCCTTGGCATATCCATCTTGCACCGGGCACTGATGTAGTTGTGACAGTGAGATCCATAGATGCATAAATGATCTAATGGGGGGTGGGGGGGTTTGCAGATTTCATCAGGGAGCCGATGCACTCCCTTTCATATACAGTATTAATGACTCAACGTCTCATTTGTTTCAGGTTTGTGACTGGCACTTTGTTGTGAATCATATGCAAGACGACGGCATATTGCCGTGTCAGAATGAAGTGCAGGCTTTGCATGATGAAGTATACTCGTCCAATCCTCCTGAAAATGGGAACACAAACCTGACAGAAAAGCAGCAGGAGGAGGATGACATTCGACATGTAAGAAATATCTAAAGCTCAATTTCATTCTGTAAATACCAATTCAGAATTCAACCTAGTTTGTTTGACATTCCATTCTGACAACTTTCAAATCATTGAAATTGTGACGTCATTTTTGAAATGGCAGTGGGCGCTCATTTGCAGATTTTCGTGTTTGTTGTTTCTTTTGGTGAAAATTACAGCAAATTACAATGAAACTTAAGGCTTGTGATTATATTTATCGCTGAATTTGTTGGACAGCGCTGTAAACACATTACAGTACTGCAACAACCTCAACTCAACTCAATTGTATTTATGGAGCCCTTTCAAACAGCCATCGCTGCACACAAAGTGCTGTACATGGAGCAACTAACATATACAACAGTAAATCAACCAATCAGTAACAAAGACGGTAGAGAGCATCAAACAGTATAACTAAGATCATAATGTGGGTCATGCTGAGTCAAATGCCAAAGAATACAAGTGAGTTTTGAGGCGGGTTTTAAAGATGGGCACCGAGGGGGCTTGCCGGATGTTCAGTGGGAGGTCATTCCAGAGAGAGGGACCAGCAACGGAAAAGGCTCGATCCCCTCTGAGCCTCAGTTTAGTTCTTGGTACTTCTGGTCTGCAGACCTGAGGCGCCGGGCAGGTGTGTAGGGGCGGATGAGCTCAGAGAGGAAAGGTGGTGCAAGGTCATTTAGAGATTTGAAAACAAATAATAGGATCTTGAAAATAACTCTAAAATGTATGGGGGGCCAGTAAGGGATGCCAGAGTATTCATATCGTTCTTAATATTTGTCTTTTTGTAAGGCAAATTTTTCATTGTTATTTGAGTACAAAATGAATGACGTAATGTAGTGCCTGTTTTCTTTCCTCAATCTAACACATTATATATAAAACACTAAATATAGTACTAACTCATGAAGAATATCATTATGTCTTTCAGTCTTCCGAGGTAGAGCAAAAGCTTTCTGTAATGGAAGCTCAAATCGACAGTCTTCTTTGTGGCCTTCAAAGGCTTGGTGCCCTGGAAGCCCGTCTGGAGGAGCTTGCAAGCAGGACGAACACAGAAAAAGTAAGGGGACACTTTTTTTTCCCCCTGTCGGACGATAGTTTGTTCATCAGCATTTAGCCATTTGTTGTGCTCATGTTCTATCTCGATGTAAACACTGAAGCACAGTGTGCTCTCCGATGTATGCTGATGGGAAAACACTATTTTGCTCATTGGAAGGCGAAGGGAAGTAGCATGTTTTTCGGACTCTTAAGTCGCTCCACAGTGTAAGTTGCATTTTGGGGGGGATTTATTGTATAAAAATTGAGACCAAGAGCAGTTGAACATAGACTCACACTCAAAATTCCCGTTCCCTAATTTTTGTTGCGTTCGGAAATATGCTCTAAGCGCGCCCTGATTCACTCCCACCGTTCAGAAACTCATTGCAATGTTGAAATGTGCACACACAATTAATTAACATCGGTTTATGAACAGAAAAACCATTGTTACTGTATCCAAGTCTTTTGTAATAATCGCCTTATAATATCAAATTGTATCGGGCTGGGTATCGATTCAGATTTCCAAAACCATTTCCATGCGATTCACAAGGGCCTAATTTGACTGGATTTATGATTCACGATTCACTTTTATTTTCAATTCGTTTAAGGGAGGATTTCACGCAGATACCATTTATAATCCGCTAAAATACGGAATTTAACCAAATCATTTTGTCATTTCGTGCCATCATCTCACATAAAATCGGATCTGGGTTGTTGTTTCAGAAGGAAGAAGAATTGATCACAATATCAAGAGAGAGCTGGGACAATCTAAATGGTAGAATTCTCTTACTGGAAACCAAATTGGAACTTGGCCATACAAAGGTAGGGTGATCACCTCTGAACATATTTGTCTGAATGCTTTCTAGAAACCCCACTTCCAATGAAGTTTGCACGTTGTGTAAAACGGAAATAAGAAAACAGAATGCAGTGATTTGCAAATCTTTTTCAGCTTAACTCAAATGTATTCAGAGAACACCTTTTAATTGCATACAAAGTGCTATACGGGAAAAGACCAGACAACTACATCTTAATATATTCTTTTGATATGAATTGTCTTTTGTCATTTTTAGCATATTTGAAAATCCAAAACTACGAGGTTTATTTAAATTGCACATTTCAAACACAACTCTATTTTCCTCACATAATTATAAGTACAATGTTTGAAAGTATTTACAAATACTAGACATAGACATTTAAAAGCAAATAAAAGGTAGAAGACTAAATTTGACTCAACATGCAATGCAAGAATTTGGATGATTTTAAAAACACTTAAAACATATATGTAAGACCATTGTGTGTTTGTTTTTTGTTGTTGTTTTGAAACATTTTTACATTCAATTATATCATGGTACTTGGATTACATTCCTAACTACATTTGTTCAGAGGTAATAATAGTTTATCAGTTCAAATGTTATAATAGTTAACTTTGTAGTGGATTTAAATCAATCTACGTTGAAAAGGATTTGCAAATCATTCTGTTCTGTTTTAGTTGTTGTGCACAACGTCCTGACTTGAAATTGGGGTTTGTAGTTTGCCATTTGAAGAGCCTATTAGGTGCTGCTGAGCTCTGCCTTCTTTATTTATTTTTCAGTTTTATTTTGGATCATTGAGCACAAATGATTGTGCTTCACAAATTTTGCCTTGCAAGAAGTAACTGAGCAATGTGGCAGCACTAGGAAAAAGAAGCAATTCTGTTCATCAAAGATTGTTGTCCTTTTAATCTTTTTTTTTTTTTAACCGTGTGGTTTTAACTGTTGTCACTGGTTATTATTATAACATTACCCCTTTGTTTTTGTTATAGTCAAGTGTTCCGCCACTATGTCAGTCATCTACCCCACTCTCCTCTCTCAGTGTCATATCTGATTCTTCAAAGGTGAGACCGTAAATCTCTCACGTCACTGTATTGTGGAAAAGTACCACTCTCTTCTTTAAGTACACCTTAAAAAAAAGAGAGAGAGATCGTAGCAGTGCTGAATCTATGGATAGTTTGTTCTTTCCATTTGAAAATAATTGTCAAAAAAATATATACTGACATTGAAATGCAAATGCAGCTATTGTATCTCATTTGATGGTTCGGTGGCATTTGTTACCGAGAATCATTTTTCACTTCGACTCATGTTTCTCATGTTATTTGAATCTTTGTCCAGGATGATATAAAAGACAGACTCGAGAGGATCACCAACATGTAAGTGATGAGTTCACAAAAGCATCATCATACGATCTTGACAGTGAAACCGTGACCTTGGTTCACAACCATTCCAAGACTCTGTTCATGAGCCAAAGCAATGTTTCCCAATAAAATGAATGTAAAGCCTCAGAACCGAGCTGACGCCTTGTAAGGAGCGGACGCTGGGGCCCCTTGCCGTGGCCTGACATCACGTGCCCAGGCCCCGCCAGCAAGAGCTCACCAGACACTGGCAGAAATGCAACACTTTCCAAGGAGAACAAAAGAAAAAGAGACATTTCTGTTTGTGAATTCAGCGACACACAGAGCAAAAAAAGTCCACACTGTGTTCTGCGACTCTTTGCGAACTGATGGATAGTTCGCGAATCAAAGAAATAGTGTCCGATAAATAGATTCATCAACCGATTTGATTCTTTAAACAGGGTCGTTTGTGAACCAAGGTTCCACTGTACAAATCTTTCCCGGTTTTTGAGTGTGTCTTTCTTTTGACATTTATAGGTTGAAGAGTACCTCAACTCTAATGAAGAGTGCAGACTCACCCACAACCCCTTACGAATAGATTGATGAAATGACTTAATAATAAGTCCGAGTCACTTTACGTTATTCACAGAAGTACATCAAGTCCAGCTTGTGTTTGGCCTTTGATCGTAATGGAAGCAGATATATCTTTGTTGAAGGGGACAAAACCAAATAATTGTCGACAAAACTGGGAGTAAGTGTTGGGTCATATTTTTGTTTTGCAGAATTCCAAAATTCTATGAACTGTTATCGATAGCCTCAGTTCAGAGGCATGAGTTTGTATCCAGGTGTGTAGGTTTTTTTTTTTTTTTTTGTGTGTTTTTATTTCATTTTACTCAGCAATAGTTTTCACTATTCATAAATTAATTGATTTTAAATTGTGTAATTTGTCATTTGTTGTGTGTGTGTGTGTGTGTGTGTGTGTGTGTGTGTGTGTGTGTGTGTGTGTGTATGTATATTTTATATATAAAAATAATATGATGGCTTTGTTCATCAGTTTTCTTATGAAAGTCTCCTTTTTGAATGTTCTTCAATTCTGCCACACTGTAATCATGACTTTTTTTTTAGGGACAAATGAGTTCATCTTGTTTTCTTCTCTAAATAGTGACAATGGGTACCGTACATGAATAGCTACTTTTATCCTGAATAAAGAAAATCGAGATCATAAATGAAATCTAGTGTTGATGCATTTAGCATAAGGATTCTTTTTTTTTTTTTTTTTTTATAAACACACTTCATAAACAACCTGTTTAACCCCCACCCCCTCATCAAATTGCATTTTGTGTTTGGTAAAATGGAGAGGACCATAAAAGTAGGCATTGTGAAGGAACTAATTAGAGTGCTAAGGCACAGATAAGTGTGTTCAAGTTTTAGAACGTGATGTGGTCTTCATTTTGGAATTATGTATTTAGCTGCAAAGAAAATACTATGCATAGAGTGGAATACGCACATAATCGTGAGAGAATTATTATTTTTTTTAAATTAATGACCGTATTAAGTTAGTTAAATTATACAATAAAAACCACCATCACCTGACGCTAATCATATTAGCTAGCATACATGGTCGAACATATGCACACTATCCCTTAATACAAATGGTATTCAATGAAATCAGAATCACAATTTGATATTTACGTACAGCAATAAACTCCCAAAATATAAATGAACGCTAAAGATCAAGGAATTTTCATGCATAATTGAAGCAGCATCATGAGAAAAGAAACCAAAACTTTACTGTTTGCCTACACTTGCCACATGAGTTATCATCCTGGATTGGTTGCTAGTCAATCATAAGATTCGTCCTGTGGAGCAACATCCATTTACGCTCACATTCACACCAAAAGGGAATTTAGTGTCTCCAGTTCACATAGCAGGCATGTTTTTAAAATGTGGGAGGAAGACAGTTCCTAAGCTATCATTTGAGTCCACACCCTTGATTAGAAGGCAAACGCGTTTGCAATCGACTGTCATGCAGCTCATGGTATTTGTTGTAAATATATCATCACTTTTCAGCTTGCCTTGCAATGAATAAGGGGCGGGGGTGGAGGGGGGGGGGTGCTTGCTCACATGACCAAACCTGAAAAACAGGTTTGCAGATTTCCTTTGGATGCTGCGGGGTGGGGCGATGACATGATCAGTTTGCTGCCGAATTTACCTCATTTACCCATGCCGGAAGGAATTACTTTCACTTGTTTAACCAAATGCGGGAGTTAGTTGCGCATATACAGTACTGGATTTGATAAGAATGTAGCGATTCCCATTTCATTATTGATAATGCTCATAGATCCCATTCCTTATCAATTCTTATTCTGTTGAGGGAATGAAAGAATACATAAGGTTTGGTGGCTCAAATTCTTTAATATTGTCAACTTTGGACAAACAATACAGCCTATGCACTCATAATCGAATATATCCTGGTTGGAGGCGGGTTGGGGCGATGGGGGGCTTGGGGGACTCATTTGTCAAAGTATGTCAAGAGACCAAAAAGCTTTTTTTCAGTTTTTTGTGTACCTTACATGATATCAGACCGCAAGTGTCTCATTGGTCCAGAGGAAAGTTTCTCTAACATTATGGCTATAAACATTTGGGAAGACTGACGGTCCTCCTTTTACCTTCAGCTTGGTCCATTTATACATTATGCAACCATACTACTCTGCATGAAAGGGTTTTGCCACAGCGGGGAAATGACCTGGCCGAGGCAGCCATCAATCTTCTGAAAACACTCAGATGAGCAAAACGATTATCGGTACCTTAAAAAGGACTGTACACTTGAGAGAAAGTAGTCTCTGCACAGCACATTTAAACAGAAATGATTCCATGCATGCGAATCATTGAACACCACACTGAGTCAAGACCAAACCGGTCAAACCACCCTAATCACGAGGGGGGGCAGAGGGCCTCCTCAACAAGAATTTAAATGTAGCTCAGTGCTTCTGATGGTGCAGGGCCAGCAGAGAATACCTTGCTGGCCCTTATTGTAGTAGCAGGGTGAATATTTGCTTGCAGATTATAATAGATGTAATATTTAAAACCAAACAATCTTCACAACAGAAAAATACAAATATAAGCAAATTTAATCAACCACTCTGGTGGCAACCTCTATGACAATGTGGTTTAAAGTGTTATCTTTCCCTCAAAATGTTGACATTGCACGCAATACTCGGTTTGCAAAATAAGGATTTTTGTATCTATCCTTGTGCAATTTGTTTAGGGTAAAAAAGGAAAACTAAGGAGTTGGTTCTGGATTTCTGCAGGAAACTGCCTTCACCTGCATCCAAGGTACGGACATAGAGAGGGTGACCTCCTACAAGTACCTGGGTGTTCTTCTCAACAATAAACTAGACTTGTCTAACAATACGGACGCCCTGATCAGGAAAGGGCAGAGCCGGCTCTTCCTGCTCAGAAAACTGAGGTCTTTTGGAGTTGAGGGGTCACTCCTGAAGACTTTCTATGACTCTGTGGTGGCCTCTGCCATTCATTATGGCATAGTCTGCTGGTCAGGCAGCATCTCAGCCCGGGACAGAGAGAGACTGAACCGACTGGTCGGGAGGGCCAGCTGTGTCCCGGGCTGCTCCCTGGGCACCCTAGAGGAGGTGGGCAACAGGACGATGCTAGCCAAGCTAAAAGCTATGATGGACAGACCCTCCCATCCCCTCCAGGCCACCCTGACAGCACTGGGCAGCTCCTTCAGCACACCCGCGCTGCAAGAAGGAGAGGTACCGCCGCTCGTTCCTGCCGACTGCTGTCAGGCTATTGAAAAGACAGACCTGAAAACATGGACTCACCCCCACCCACCCATATTTAAGATGGTTTTATATATATATATATATATCTACACACACACACACACACACACACACTTTTTGTTCTTCTACTCCTTTTCAAAAATTTTCTGCTGCAAATTGGGAATTTCTCCATTGTGAGACAACTAAAGGTTTTCTTATCTTTTCTTATCTTAATAAATGGTTTTGTTTGACCTCATAAGCTCTTTGTAAATCATTAATTTTCGGGAAAGCATTGTAGCATATTATGTGTCCATATCATTGATTGAAGCAACTATTTTAACAGGTAAGCGATTTGATTAGCCACTAGATGGCAATGTCAGAACGTTTGAAGGAAAAAAATACTACTGTGAATTTTTCTCCAATTGGACTGACAGGTACTGCGCTTCAGCGAAATGGCAGATTGGCTGAGAAGATCACCGAGTATTAGACAATTTCTACAGTCTTAGAATAGTGTTTGTCTTGGAAAAGTAGACAAATGATACATATAGAGACTTTAAAACTGATCTGATTCCTCCGATTAATTTGTATGACCTGTCAAACAAAACCCGGGGAAAATTCATAGGGGGTCATACAAATACTGAACGCGGGACTTGTCTTCCGGTTGTTGCCAGGTAGTTCGAGGAGTCGACCAACTTTTGCGGACCAGGTTGATCGATTATGGAAAGCGTTCCGCGGCAGAAAGCTGACATTTGCAATAATAGGTAAGATGCGTTTCGTTTGACGAGAGGTAGCAACCTTCAGAGACAATTCACGTATCGACTAGAACACGCTACACCGCGGTCATTTGCCCAAATACTGTCATTTCTGGTTCCTGGGCTTTTATCTCCGCAGCTGCACAACCAAGAAGAGGGAAGACTACCTGGAATGGCCCGAGTACTTCATGGCCGTGGCCTTTTTGTCAGCTCAGAGGAGCAAAGACCCGAGCTCACAAGTGTGTATTGTGTGTCCCAACTTAACAAATATTTAAAATTATCGCAACGAGTGCTCTATCTAACTGACAATTCTGGCTTTTGTTTGCGTGCACGTGAAAAGTTATTCCTTAACTGGCTCTCCTCCGCAAAAACAACGTTCGTATATGTGTGTGTGTGTGTGTGTGTGTGTGTGTGCGCGCGCCCACGCGCACGCCAGCGACTCTATAACATCCTAACCTTATAAACACAACTCGTTAGGACCTAACGAGTTGTGTTTCAAGGAAAATCAATCCAATGACCTAGCCAGCTAACGGTTTGGTGAGAACTAAATGTCATTGGGGTATGTTTTGTTGCAGAAATCAAAGAGCGGGAAAGTTTGAATTGGTAAACTTTGAAATTAGAGCAAAATTGAATTGAATTGTGTTATTTGTTTCAGATTGTTTCAGCATTCAGACAGACGGGTATGAAAGATCAAAACAGTGAAAATGAAATGAATTAAAAAAATAGAAATAAATACCATTTTGATAATAGACAAATAAGGTAATAGTGTGTTGTAATAAATGTATGTTCTTTAATATCTAATAATAATTTTATTACAATTAAATATTTCACGTTTATTCTATCAGTGTCATACTCAAATAATTATGTTTTATTTATTTTGCAATATTTTATAAAACAAACGTTTTTTTACAAAGTCATTTTTTATTTCCTAATGACTTTTTGCACAATGGCTTTTTCATTTCATAATTTCAATCAAAGTTAGTGGGTTGGACCTCTACGTGTTAACATTTGGTTGCAACAGTGCTGGACTATTATGGGGACAGTCTAAAACGTAAATGTGCATGTAAAAAAGCTTAATGGGGCTGTAGTGAACATCTATGGGGAGGAAAAAAGCTTAATGCCCATAAAATCCAAAATACAGTGGCGATTGTTTTGATATTTTCAGAGGTTGAAGTGGGTATAGGTAAAGACGTGCATATGAATTCTGATAACGAATGATCGTAGTTTTCTCACACTAAGCAAAAACATGAAGCGTGTTAGGCTGTCCCGTTATGTGAACTTCCAGACACCACCTCATCAAAAACACCCTGCTGCTGCAATCCTCTCTCAGGCTGAGGTCAAGTCCTCACGTTACTATCCAAACACTTGGCAACTTCCCTGAGTAAGTAACACTGAAAGTGACTTCTCTACCGCGGCCCTCAGGCAGCTCAGCATCAATGATAAATTGCCATGCTTTAATCGATACTGCAAGTACTGTTCATATCAGGCAATCACTTCACTGGCTCCGCCTCATGTGATTTGATAGACATTAGTAGACAAGTCATTGTGCTGAAAAACGGCATTATAAAATAAAAAGGCCATTGTTCTATAAGGACGTTATGAAATAAAAATGGATTCAGTAAAAAAAAAACTTTAGTTCATAAAATCTGGGAAACAAGTTTTTTTTAACAAGTATGACGTGTTCAAATAATCACTGTGAAATACTAAATACAGTAACATTATATTTAGGTATTAAAGATTAATAACATTCGTTGATAAGTTACTTTTACAATTTAATGGCCATATGTATTTGTCAGTTATTTATCAAAATTATAATTTTTTTTTCTCCAATATTTTATTTTTATTTATCTAATTTTGACTGTATTTGGGCTTCCATAGACGAGAAGCCACCTGCATTTTACATGGCAGTTGTCTTGCCTATAATTTGCCAATTGACACATTGGCGGCATTGCAAAATTGCCACCTGTTTTTTCTGCCCCTGACGAGATTTCAGCGCCAGTCTGAGAGGCGATCATATTGCTCCAATGCATAGTACAAGTCTTGACACATAATGCAGTGGAACTCCCGAAACTAATAATATGAGATAGCTTTACCTCTACTGACCTCAAATTTATCCAAATTCTCAAGTGGAAGATTATGATGTTCAGCAAATTAAAGTTGGTATAGCTAAAGCTTTACCACTATCATCTCCTCAAACTGGCGCTGATCTGCAAGAAGTGAGCGCAAAACCTAATGCCAGGTGGCCATTTTGGCAGTTGGCAAGTCATTGGGAAAGGGAATGATGTTGACAAAAATTGCAAAGCCTAATTTGTCCAACGCTGATGGCCTCACATCAGTCCAAATGATACATGACTTTCAGGACACCCTGTATGTTGCAAACTCAATCTGTTGAATGTACAGGACTATCCTAGTCTCGTCTGATTTGAAGTAATACAGTGCAACTTCAAGGTCAAACACAATCTATTCTGAGAGTAACTGAGGACTTTTTTTTTTTTCCAGAGTAAATGATGGAAATTGAAGCAAGCTCCTCCGAGCTGTCGCCCATAGAAAACTTTCATAAATTGTGTAGGCAGTGTTCAAAGCAACAATGTAGCATTGCAATTAACTGGATAGTAGAAGAATCAACTTCAACATGGAGTGAGGTTTTTAACATTGTTAACTGTGACATAAAGAAAAACAAAAAAATCAAATCTCAACTAAGAATTATTTGGCGAAAATTTTAAAGTGGACAGTCCAGCTAAAAATATTTATCATGCCTGGGCAGGAACATTTGGAGTTCATCATGGTCACCTGGCCGTGTTGTGTTGGACGGAGGGAGCCTCTTTTGGCAGGTTGTTGTGGTTTCTCATTAGTTGTTGGATCACGTTTCACCGCATTGTGTACTGTTAAAAGAATTTTGATGTCCATTGTTATTGTAAAGACTTTAGTTCATAAAATCTGGGAAACAAGTTTTTTTTAACAAGTATGACGTGTTCAAATAATCACTGTGAAATACTAAATACAGTAACATTATATTTAGGTATTAAAGATTAATAACATTCGTTGATAAGTTACTTTTACAATTTAATGGCCATATGTATTTGTCAGTTATTTATCAAAATTATAATTTTTTTTTCTCCAATATTTTATTTTTATTTATCTAATTTTGACTGTATTTGGGCTTCCATAGACGAGAAGCCACCTGCATTTTACATGGCAGTTGTCTTGCCTATAATTTGCCAATTGACACATTGGCGGCATTGCAAAATTGCCACCTGTTTTTTCTGCCCCTGACGAGATTTCAGCGCCAGTCTGAGAGGCGATCATATTGCTCCAATGCATAGTACAAGTCTTGACACATAATGCAGTGGAACTCCCGAAACTAATAATATGAGATAGCTTTACCTCTACTGACCTCAAATTTATCCAAATTCTCAAGTGGAAGATTATGATGTTCAGCAAATTAAAGTTGGTATAGCTAAAGCTTTACCACTATCATCTCCTCAAACTGGCGCTGATCTGCAAGAAGTGAGCGCAAAACCTAATGCCAGGTGGCCATTTTGGCAGTTGGCAAGTCATTGGGAAAGGGAATGATGTTGACAAAAATTGCAAAGCCTAATTTGTCCAACGCTGATGGCCTCACATCAGTCCAAATGATACATGACTTTCAGGACACCCTGTATGTTGCAAACTCAATCTGTTGAATGTACAGGACTATCCTAGTCTCGTCTGATTTGAAGTAATACAGTGCAACTTCAAGGTCAAACACAATCTATTCTGAGAGTAACTGAGGACTTTTTTTTTTTTCCAGAGTAAATGATGGAAATTGAAGCAAGCTCCTCCGAGCTGTCGCCCATAGAAAACTTTCATAAATTGTGTAGGCAGTGTTCAAAGCAACAATGTAGCATTGCAATTAACTGGATAGTAGAAGAATCAACTTCAACATGGAGTGAGGTTTTTAACATTGTTAACTGTGACATAAAGAAAAACAAAAAAATCAAATCTCAACTAAGAATTATTTGGCGAAAATTTTAAAGTGGACAGTCCAGCTAAAAATATTTATCATGCCTGGGCAGGAACATTTGGAGTTCATCATGGTCACCTGGCCGTGTTGTGTTGGACGGAGGGAGCCTCTTTTGGCAGGTTGTTGTGGTTTCTCATTAGTTGTTGGATCACGTTTCACCGCATTGTGTACTGTTAAAAGAATTTTGATGTCCATTGTTATTGTAAAGATGTAAAGATCCAACCCAGTAAAATTGTGCTGTTTGTGAGATTCTCTAGTCCTTTTCAGTAGCCAGGGTTTTTCCTGCGTTCAAAATTGCGTGGCGGGCGCCTCCAGTTAATTTTGTGCCTCCTCCAGCCAGGCCGATTGATCTCACTCAACACAGCGTAAAGCTCCAGCTGTGCTGATTGAGCGATTGATGTCTCTCTGTGGCAGCTACATATTTTAACTGCAGTTGCAGTGTTGCACCACTATGGATGCGCTAGAGCATGGCTTCTCAAATAGTGGGGCGCGCCCCTCCAGGGGTGCGATGCCAGGGGGAGGCACAAGTGACTCTGGGGAGCATGTGTGGTTATTTTTTTTTTTTTTTTTGCTGAAGAAAATGAATGAAGTGGCAGTTGGCAGTGGCGCCCTCATTGTCAGAGAGTGCGCAGGGAGTATTAGCTCGATGGTGTAGGGTTTATTTCTTTGTTTTTGCACCGAGCATGAGATAAGTGCGTTAAACAAAGCCTCAGGAGAGAACATGATTTTTTTTTTTTTAAACAGGGATGAAAAGAAAGATGAAAATAATGAGACAAAAAAAAGTCACCCGAAAGCTAAGACAAGGAAATATGACGAAGCGTATGTAGCGCTTGGCTTCACTATGACTACAGTGGGAGATGGACAAGGTGTGTTGATTGGCTGCACTGCACTATATCAACAGAAGTTGAAGCTACTACCAAAGAAAAAACAGATTGAATCATGTTTTTTCCCAGCTAGTCGATCGGCGTCCTGATTTTCCATGGGGGATGCTAAAAATGGGTAAATATTGCCCGTTTTTTGCATCCAAGCATGTCGTGTTTATGAAAATAAGTTTCCTTCATGTCAAAGTATCGATTTTGATTTTTAGCAGTGCAGACACGGCCGGGAAAATCAGCCACTTTTGGCGAGGCGATATCAATCCGTTTCCAATTAGGAGTAGAACAACACAAAGCCAATGTGTATGTGATCGAAACATATCGTCTTAAAAACACAGGAGCCAGTGGCTTTGACAAGCAGTGGCGATATCAGTTGACCTGGTTCAGGCATAATGAGGAAGGCATGGACTGTTATTTATGCCTAAAGCACTGCGCCCCAACACAGCAGGCAATTGCTGCCTCCCTCGTGAGACAGCCATCAACCAACTGTAGGCTGGACACATTAAAAAGACATGAGGTGACGGCCATTCATACAGCAGCAGAAGAGAAGGAGAAGTATATTCAAGATGGTAGTACCTAAAAATCACGCGACGAATAAAGTTACAGACACTAAAATAATGTAGTTTCGGACTTTTGGGATTTTTTTTTTTGCGGTGGGCACTGCAGCCTGCTATTGCAGCACAGGTGGTCACGGACCATAGTGCACTTGAAGCCTGCTTCAAAATAATCTGTCTCAAACAAAGTGGCCCCACCACACATGCTATGACCCCATCCTTCGTCGATGAAAGTTTGAATAAATTAATAAAATGATTATAGTCATATTCTTTTTGGAACTCTTAACTTAAAGTCTTGTAAAAGTTGAAATTACAGAATACGTGCACGTAGTGGCGCACGGTCAGCATGGTACCACCTCTGCCTCAATTTGAGCCAGGAAGACCCCTGGTAGCCATTAGCAGGCTACATGCTATTCACGTGATGTCTCTTTTTGCTATCAATGGCATTCTATTTCTGGTGGAATCACAAAAACTACAGAACAAGACCAATCCACTTGGTTTTCCTTGATGTTCTCGAAGATCAAGTCTCATGGGGTTTGCTGTAGTTGTGTGCGATATTCGGACATCATGTGTGATTTGCGACATTTTTTGTCTGATTTGTCGAAGTCGGACTGAATGGTTGTAAATCTCAATTAAATAAAGTTAGTTTTCTGCTTGCAGGTGGGGGCCTGTATCGTGAACCAGGAAAATAAGATTGTTGGCATCGGCTACAACGGAATGCCTAATGGTTGCGATGATGACCAGTTACCCTGGGCTCGGTCAGCAGATGATCGTTTGGACACGAAATATCCCTACGGTAAGAAATTGTTTCTTGAAGAAAAATGGACTTGTCTTCAAGGCATTAAGCATTGCATGACTTTATTCCAAGTGATCACTTGTGAGTAGCAGCACATTTTGAGTTTATAGATGGTATTTAGGTATTTTTCCTTTTTCGGAAACCACCTGCGACATCGTAACACCCTGTTAGAGACAGATGGCCTGACAGAGAATATTCTCTTTGGAAACCTCACAATGGCCAATTAACCATCCATCCATCCATCCATTTTCCGATCCGCTTATCCTCACAAGGGTCGCGGGGGTGCTGGAACCTCTCCCAGCTGTCTTCGGCCAGTAGGTGGGGGACACCCTGAACCGGTTGCCAGCCAATCGCAGGGCACACAGAGAGACGAACAACCATCCACGCCCACACTCACACCTAGGGACAGTTTAGAGTGTTCAATCAGCCTGCCATGCATGTTTTTGGAATGTGGGAGGAAACCGGAGTACCCGGAGAAAATCCACGCAGGCCCGGGGAGAACATGCAAACTCCACACAGGGAGGCCAGAGCTGGAATTGAACCTGGTACCTCTGCACCGTGAGGTTGACACGCTGACCACTGGCTCACCGGGCCGCCCAATGGCCAATTACTGTTCATCAATTGTTACAAGCCCGCATGGTCTTGTGATGTTAAAATGTCACCAGCATGATAAAGGACACTCATTGAATACCTATTATACCAAGACAGGAAATGGGTTGGCTGTTTTGTGGATCAAATGCCTGTTTTGAAATTTGCTGTTCATTGTTTTGTGCAAAAAAACAAAAAAACCTAAACTAAACATTTGGATATGTGCGTTCAAAATTTTAGAGAAGGTCAAATGAAGTTCACCTGTAATAATGAGCTGCCGTTTGGGTTCATCCTGTTACCCAAATTCAACCTGTTACCTCAGTGAACCTTAACTTATTGTGAGTGGTCAGGGTTCTACGTTAACAGTGGCCCACTGGCCGATGGGGCCAGTACAAATTTCATGAATGAATACAATGAAATCAACATGAAATCTTGCTTTTTTTAGGACGGTCATACCTCGGTTTTCGACCATAATCCGTTCCAGAAGACTGTTCAAAAAGCGATTTGTTCGAAATTCGAAACTATTTTATTAGCCCATGATTAGGGGCTAATACACTCAGCCATCTCGTTACCTCTGCGTCCCGCGTCCTAGATGCATAATTTTCCCGCGGGACGCACAGTTCCAAATAATGTGCGTTTTTGGGACGCAAAGAAATTTCTCAGTCAAAACAAAAAAAAACTACGGTAAATCTTTTTTTCCAGCAACAATCACAGTTTGATCATTGCCACCATTGTTGTTTTGATCTCGTGTTAAGTGATCTCGCGTGACAAGATTTCCGTTCTCGCAAGACAAGATTGGCGAGATCGGCCTTCACCTCGTGGGAAGCAGACGATTGCCAAGTTGTGTAACGGTAAAACAAGTGTTGCGAAAGTTTATTGCGGAGATATCACAGAGGAAGCAGCTAAAGTTGGATGGTTTTTTTGCGATAAGTTGACTTTGAGAAAGCCTTGCATCATTGGAAGCAGAGTAAAGAGAGGAGAATTTATGAACTCAAAGACTGAACCATGGGATGAGATAAGAACCTATTTCTCAGCAAATCTTATATGCCTGAATTATTAAATTTTTGCAGCATTTGCTTATAAGAAATAAACCTATATTCAATGTACAGTATATTGTTGTTGTTTGTGTTATTATCATGTGCAATTGAATAAATAGACCATTTCAGAATTCAAAATTTGGGACTCTCTAAATGCATAATGTGACTCATACTTATCTAATCAGCAGAGCTCAAACTGTAAAATTATCACTGTACACTATGCAGAAAAAAAAACAGATTTGTGTAAATCACAAACATGTCTGCTCACAATGAACGTTACACGAGGAAGCGTCACTTACTCGTGTTCGGGTTTGCTCAGTTTGGTCGAAAACCGGTTTTCAGTCATAATCCGAGGCGTAAAGATCTCGAATTTTCTGGTCGAAATCCGATTTGGTCAATAACAGACGTTCGAAAACCGAGGTTTGACCGTACTTGATAATCAATATTTGAAGTTTTATCCACTTAAATGTTTTTACAGCAGTAAACTTTTTTTACACGTCAGGTTAAATCCTTCCATCATGAATGGCTTCAAAAAAATATAAAGCCCCGAAAATGCAGAGTCCTACAAAGCGCCTTTTGTTTATAAGGACGTTTATTTAATCGTTTTAATTGACCAGTGAATTTGACTTTTTCTGTTGACCTCTTATTCAAGGTTAAATAGTATATTTAAAGATAAAATTACCCAAATTCTGTCTTTTTTTCCCTTCCTGGTCCTAATTTTTAAGAGTTTTGAAGAGAAAAATAAATAATAATCATCATCATAATTATATTCAATCTATATTAATATCGCTTGGATATGAAATGCCTATATCTTGATCCACTTCGACCATATCGGCCAGCCCCATTCTCCCCAATTACTGTTTATAAACTTATTATTACTATTATTATAATGTGATATTGCTTAACGATTTAAAATAACAACTAAACAACAGTTAGGAAATATCACATGAGAAGAATTGATGTTGTACTCAACAACCTTTTTAAAACTAATTTAGGCACGAGTTTGTTGTTGGAGGTCGGAATTGGGGTTGAATTTTTGATTTATATCATGAATATACAAGGCCACCCCAACATGGCTCATGGTGGCACTCATGGGCCACCACCCCAAAAGGCTTTTGAACACAAGTAGTGTATTGGCCATCTAAATGATTGATATTTTATACCATTCTGACAAATGTCAGAAACATTGTCCGTGCGATATTTCATTGTCAGTAACTTTTGCCAAAAGAGGCCATCTATTTTTTTTTTTAACTACATTACAGACACATTCAGCACCAATGCAACATTGACCAGAAACTCAGATTGTTAAAAGTGCTTCATGACGCTCAACTGGGACGACACAATCAGTCTGTCCGCAGCGGGACTGTATTACTAACCAGGATGTTGTCGTGCAGTGTGCCACGCGGAGCTAAATGCCATCATGAACAAGAACAGCGCTGATGTGAAGGGCTGCACCATGTATGTCGCTCTGTTCCCCTGTAACGAGTGCGCGAAACTCATCATCCAAGCAGGTTGGGATTGGCAACACACATTGCACAACATGTCACAATCTGACTTCTTTGCCATTACGATTGGCTGGCTGATGTTGATGTCCTTTGATTTATTCGCGATTGATTTAAGATGAAATGCTGAGAAAAAGATGCAGTTTCTATCTATTCTTCGACTCTATTTTTACTCACAGCTGCAGAACGTAACAACGGCATTTACAACAGATCCGTGGGTTGTTTGTATGTACAAGAAAAGCACCGTGTTAAAAGGCATGGTGTCAGTTTCTGTATTTAACACATACCCAATGGTGGTAGCAAAAGATGTACATAAAAAAAAAAAAAAAAAAAATGAACCTACAGCCGTCACTTTCTGTTGCTATAGTACTGCATAAAAACAGTACTGTATTTTTCGCACTAAAAGGCGCACTGGATTATGAGGCGCATCTTCAATGAATGGCTATTTTGCAATTTTTTTTCAAACACTGGACACATCGCATTATAAGGCGAAATCTCCAATGCCTCCACTAGATGGTGCGACGCTCCTTCCATTTAACTCGAGAGGCGTCCGTTCAACTCGAGAGGCATTCATGACCGCCTCTGAAAAACGTAAATTAACTATTACTGTACTTAAATGAAACTACGAAAATTGAAAATAATGCATCAAAACAGAAAATCAAGCGAGGAAATCACAAAATAAATTCTATATCCCCACTACAGAATTTATTTTGTGATTTCCTCGCTTGATTTTCTTCATAGATTCATTGAAGTAATCATTAATTTACGTTTTTCGGAGGTGGCCATGAACGCCTCTCGAGTGGAACGGAAGTAGAGAAGGCACGGAGACGGACAAAGACGTACAGTACATATATTTGTTGAGACTGTGAAAACCATTAATAAAGTCTGCGTTTTAAAAAAAAAAACAAAAAACACAGCTTTCCTTTTTTCAACAAATACAGGTGAGTCTTTGTCTCCGTGCCTTCTCTTCCGTTCAACTCGAGAGGCGTTCCAGACCGCCTCCGAAAAACGCATTGGCATTTCCTTGATCATAGCTCTAACTACAGAACGATCAGATGTCAGTAGTAGTTATTTATTCCTTTGTTGTGTATTCACAAATGATGAAATCACAGTATAAATTCTGTAGGGGGGACTATAGAATTTATTTTGTGATATCCTTGCTTTTCAGTTTTGATGTATTATTTTCATTTTTTGTAGTTTCATTGAAGTAATCGTTAGTTTACGTTTTTCGGAGGCGATCTTGAACGCCTCTCGAGTCGAACTGAAGAACAGAAGGCACGGAGACGACAAAGACGTACCTGCATTTGTTGAGACCGTTTTAAAAAAAAAAAACACCACCACAGCTCTCCTTTTTTCGGAGCCGCGACAAAAACGTATTTAATAAAGCAACGACACAGTTCACTGAACCAACAGCAAGTTATAACATTGGAAGCATGTCTCCAGGAAGGAGCCATTTTGGAGTTGACATATTACCGTAATGACCATACACAAGGCGCACCGGATTTTAAGGCGCTCGGTGAGCTTTTAAGAAAATGGAAGACTTTTTGGTGCGCCCTATAGTGCGGAAAATACGGTAATAAAACTTGTCCTTCATATAAAATGTACGGTAGGTTTTTTTTTTTCTACTTAACTATCATGAGACTTAAAAGTTTCTGCTCCTTTTCGTCCACGTGAATGGGTCACGTCTTCTGCAGAATCCACTCTTCATCACTGTATCTCCCGCAAACTACTTTTTCAGCACCATCAATGGACCAGGTCGCTGGATGTATTTACGACATCAAACTTTACGTTTGCCGCTGACATAGAGTGGTAAAAGTGCACTCGTATCCCAAATTATTTGCTCATACCTTGCTACAAAAAAACTGACCAAGCGATGGCTCATATGTCCAAACACAGAGGTCAAGGCACTTGTACTGTATCTCAAGGCACCACTGTGTATTTTCCAATGTGTATCTTACTGTAGCAACTTGTACATTTTCATCAAGTCAGCATTTTTGAAACAGTGCTGTTGTATGGGGTGTGTCAGAAAACTTCCAGGACTGATGTCATTAAAAAGTTACAATATTTCAAACCCATATTACAATCTATGAGTTTTCCTCTTCGTTGTAATCACCTTGCTGTATATAACTGTGACTCAACAATTTACAGTAACTTTTTTTCCCCCATCTGCTTCTGAATACGTATCCTCTGTCTGGGTGGTCAAGCAATGTGCAAAGTGAGTAATTAATGAGATCAGACTTGCACATCGCCACCGGTGACTCAGGAGTCTTGGAGTACAACCCGAAGGTCAAACACCAGAGCCTTCAATGTTCAAGTCCATTGTGGCCAAGGCCAAAGACAGCAAGACAGTCAAAGATGCGTTGATGACAAAGTCTTCGATGAAAGGGAGGGCCATCATCATCCTATGCCAGACTATGAAGAGATCTTGCAGCATTAGCTTCATTCATTCATTTCACAAGAAGAGGCAAAAGTTTGGGCAGGACGTCTTTACCATGACATGCCTAACTGATCGTTCCTGACTGAGAACAACATTGCCATGCGGGACTCACCTTCAGTGGTTGAGCGGGGTCATCAAAGGTACCCATTTTTTGGAGGCGAATGACATCAAATGTGGCCGCGACGATGAAGCGGTGGAGGATCGAGGAGGAACCGTTTCCGGGTGTGCATCAAGGGGTAGCAGAGACAGCTGGGAAAGACTTTGGGTTGTACTTAGAAGGGATAAAAGAACTGGGAAGTTGGATTTGAAATATATCTTTTGCGACACCCGTGACACCCATCCTGGAATTTTTCTGACAACGTATGTAAGCTACTGTAAATCATTTGTCTGGAATTTATTTATTGTTGGGTATCGTTCCTTGATCGCACTTACCCTCTGTCCAGGAATTAAGGTGGTTGTCTATCTTTCTGATAAATACCATGACACACCAGAGATGACTGCCTCAAGGAGACTACTCAACATGGCAGGAGTACAGTTCCAGTGAGTAACATGTTTCATGTGTTGGACTTCATATTGCCTCTCTAAATTACAGCCTTGGTGGGCCCAACATTTTTCCTCTCAAGCACCCCCCCACCCCCCAACGCCCTTGTTAAGATGGTTTTCATAGTAGTAAATTAATGCACTTGGAACTGCCTCCACAACACCCAACCAGTGAAAGCATTTACTTTGACCACCTCTGCGAGTGTGTGTGTGTGTGTGTGTGTGTGTGTGTGTGTGTGTGTGTGTGAGAGTTAGAGTGCGAGAGAGAGTCAGTCCAAAGTAGTAAATTCAGGATAGGGTAGAGAGAAGTAAAAGGTAAAACAATAAAACCTCTATAAATTTGACACATGGTAGAGATTAGCATGAACAAGCATGCCTAATTTGTATGAATTAAAAAAAAAAAAGTAGCTGAAACACATCCTTGTATGTTTGAGCCATGAAAATATATCCGCTAAAAGCTTCTGGTGCATAGAAATATATCCCACTGAGTCTTTGTAGAGCTTTTCCATGCTCCGACAACTTGATGGTAGCCACTAGCTAGTGGGCTAAAATGTTACCGAATCCCAAAGACTTAACAGTGTCAAACAATATGTCACGACCTTGTTTGGTTTCATCTAAGAAGCAGAAGATGAACCCTTGTGCAAATGTGGATTTTTGTATTACTATTTTCTTTTTTTTTGTAATGCCATCACAAATATTTTGTGACTCGGGTAATAGGTGGATGGATGATATTCAAAGCTTTTTTTTTTTTTTTCTTGAGAAAACTGCAACACTTAGGCTAATTATATACATTTATTTTTGTGTCTATTTATATGTTTAAATTTCCCTTTGTCTTCTTGTGTTAGGCAATTCAAGCCAAAAAGGACTGAGATTACCATTGATTTTAATTCCATAAACCGACCAACAGCGCTGGACAGCCCGACAAAGTGACCATGAAAATTTCTGATTTGGGCCAGCCAAAAATATGGAACATCAGAGAGACTGTGTGGCATTTTTTTTTAAATGTTTTCAGCCTGTATCTCTGTTTTGTTTGATAAAATAGAAATGACTTGCTTTTGTATACTGGTTAACCTGAAGAAATATAGATGATATTGAAAATGAAATGAACAGGCATCAACCTACAAGTCAACAGGTTTTACATCTTTTTTAATGTATGGTATTTATCTTTCTTTTAATCCAAAGAAGTTTACGGACAAAGGCAAAGAAGAAGTATTGTTTAGTCCCTGACTTTTCAGTTTTTGTCACAGTAGTTGACATTAAAGTGTCACGTTTTACAACCAGGAGCTGCGTCCAATTAGACAATTTTGAACTCTCAGGCTGTCCTTTTGTTCCTGCGAAGACCATTTAATCCATGTTACAAACGAATGCGTTTTTATTTTTTTCTGACACCAGAAGACTCACACGGATTTGTTTTGCCTGACTGAATCACTGACATTTTGGTTCCACTGAAATGATGGCCCAAACCCTGATGCTTTAAGTATGGTTACAGTTTTAGGACAGGTTGAAAATGAGCTCTTGTGTTTTTGTATTTTCAGCTTTCCCTCACAAGCCTTCATTTTACTTTATAACTTTGCTATATATATATATATATATATATATATATATATATATA